TTGACTGATGTTTCTCAAGAAGCTACTGCTGCAAAGGCTGCAGGTTTGTGCTTTTGTATTAGTACTTTAATTCATATACCAAATAGATATGATTGATGCTTTTGGAACTATTAGATTTCTTCTCCGAGCTATTGCTCCTATCAATCAAAAGGTGAGGAAGCCAAATCTTACAGTTTCGGCACTGTGTCTTTTTCTTTTTTCTCTATGTTATATAGCATCTGAATGACTGACTTCCCGAATGAAGCCCATAGGGGGGGGGGAACCAAAACCAATTCATATAGAACTAGTGCAAACTAGCTTTTGTCTTTACTTCTGAGTAACTCCTTTCTTCAGTTGGCAAATCAATGTGCAAAGATCCCAAAAAATTAAACGGCAAATGCTTTTGTTTAAATGTGAATAATAACATTACGAAATACTGTAATTTGCATCTCTGATCGAGGAAACATCAGATAAATAAACATCTAAATACGTTGAGAACACTTTTTTACTACTTCTAACCGGTGATGGAGGGAGGCGAGTTAGGTAGGGCCATGACCACCCCAAGATTTTACCTTTTTTTAGTATCATAGATGTTACAAATTTCCACTTCCCTAGAAAATTATACGAACCCTATACCATAAATGCTTTTCATTCTCGGTGCCCTTTACGATAAGATCCTAGCTCCGCTGTTGCTTTTGACATGAATATCTAGAAGGTAGACCCACCCACCCCCACACACACACACAGATCTGAGAAATGCATGCTTTTGTCAGCCGTGCGGCTATATGGCCAAGTAAGAACTGTTCCTTTTTTCTGCAAATGAATTTGTTATGTGCATGTTTCAGGATTGGAGGTGATGATTTCTATTCGACCTGGAAATGGACCTCTTCCGGAAAATCATGGATTCAGGACAATCAATTCCTTCTTGGAGATATGAGAGTAGTAGTTAAAGTGATTGTGTAAATATGTTAAATGTGCCGCAACCACCATAGATGTATACTTCATAACGTTCACTTTCCCAAAACTGACAGAGAGTTTGGTCAATTGAGGTTTACAGTTTATAGACTGTCTTCCACGGCGGGACATGATCAAGCCCACTGCCCACGCCAATCATAGAAGATTTAAGTTTTCATTACTTTAATTTAGACATATATAAATGACAACAAAACCACATGAAATCAGTACGCGTATAAACCATTAAGAGGCTGCATATGCATGAAATATTAAGCTTATGGCTTTTCAGGCCTGAAATCTCGTCTAAGCTTGGCGGGTGGTGCTGTTTTTGGAGCAACTTGTCGTTGACATATCACAAGTTTACAATTTTCAGTTAACGTTACAAGCTAATCAGATTATACTACTTATTTAGGACGGGCGGCTTTGACTTTTGATCATTGATGAATGATGATAAGGTATTTAAAGTTGGTTTGAAGTTATCTTTGTTCTTCAAGAAACAAAAAAACTGGATTAGGAATTAAACTTGTTGAGGTAGTGGGTCAAGGATTATTGGTCAGACCAACCATATTAAAATAATATAATATAATTCACAATATTAAAATAAAATAAAAGTCACAAATAATAATCCCTAACAAAATATAAGAAGCTACAAAAGTAGTTTATATGTTTAATTGTACCAAATAAACATTAATAAAATGTATATTTTCATTATAGAAAATTAAAATCATCACTAAGATCATTGGCATGGATTGATATATCAACAGCTGGATGAGGAAAAGCAAGAGCAACAACATCATCGTGTGAAGGTGGAGGATCAGTAATGTTCATATCTTCATCATTTATATAAGACAATAATTAATATTAATGATTATGCAAATAATTATATATTTGTATAAGAATAGAGTCTTAATTGTACTCTTTTGCTCCTTAATATAAGATCTATTTAACTAATTTGATTAGATTAAAGAAGTTAGGTAAGTTAGTTAATTATAAATATGACATGTTTTTTCAAAAATAATATAATCATCTTCCTTAATATCCCCCTCCCTCTTCTACTTGGTTATGGTTGAGGGAGTATCTATAGGGGTAATTGAGAAAAAATTGATAAATATGAGAGGTATGTCTTATATTTATGACCAAAATTAACCAAATAATTAGATCCTATATCAAGGACTGGAGGAGTATATATAGACCATCATTATCCCTCTCAAGAGTTGAATTTGCAATGCCCTCATTGTTAAGAACACTTTCAATCGTAGCCATATTTCCATCATCAAACTCTGAAATGAGATCTTCTTCAGCCACCTAAAAATCTACCATATCAATGTTTTCATAGTCAATTAGATCATAACTTTTGCTCTTCTTCAATGTACTCCTTTAATGACAAATAAAATTTCAATTAAATAGAAATAAATTAAAATAGAAAAAAAATATTCACTATTTTCAAGATTACTTATGTTTCAATTGCAGATTATAGTTGGTGAAAACTAAATCATTCAGCCTTTTGTGTTCTAATCTTTTTTTTTTTGTATGAATTCTTTCAAATAAGTTCCAATTCCTCTCACAACCAGAAGAAGCAAAAGTTTGACTAGGAATATGCATTGCAACATGCTGCAATTCTTGAACTGAACAACCATAATATGTCCATTATTCATCTACATAATAAAATATATATAGTATCCAATATTATATAGAATTAGTGAATAACCATGAATATAATACTTACAAGGGTCTAGTTTTTGTACAGCTTTTTAACATGAGGGTCTACTAAAAGATTTTTTGCCCTCGCGATAAGTAGATGGAGGGGAGTACATTGAAGAAGGTTTTTTAAATTTTTTTGATTAAAATAAAGGATGTCGTTTTGGGCTTTTTGGGATGCAAAAAAAAAAAAAAAGAATCAAACTGGGTAACCCATCAAACTGGGGGTTACCCAGTTTAATAGCGGTTTTCACCAGTTAAAGTGGTTTTCTACTGGTTCAATTAACCACTAGTCCACCAATTAAACCAGAACGGACTGCAGACCAATTCACCAGTTTTCTAGTTAAATTGGCTAGTTCGGTCTAGTTTTTTTCCTTTGTTGTTCCCTAACTTGTGAAGTGTGTGGTCCTTGCTTCCAACTTGGTGACTTTTCAAACCTTCCCAATTAATTTCTCCGTTTGTCAAGAAGAGGGAGTTAGAAACCCTGTTCTGAAGAAACAGTATATATCACATTAATTATTGGACCGAAAAGTTTATAATTTTTTAAAAAAAACTATATAGAAATTATTTTAACAGAAATCTGGGATTATACTTTCAGTTCAAATTTACAAATTTTTTCTGGCAAAGGACTTTCTTTTGACTGAACTATAGTCCTCCTTCTCTCCTTTGCTAATTTCTACCGTACGTATTTGAACATAATCATATAATCCAAAAGTTACATATTTTAAAATTAGAGATGAAGTATAGTAATCAATATGCATGATATAAAACTATAGGAAGTCAAACTACTTGTGTAGCTCATTTTTTGATTGGGCGCAAAGCACAGGCCTACAATTGTCCGCAATTTAGTTTATACTACATATGTACGTTTTAGGCTAACTTAAGACTGGTTGACCAAAAATGCCCTTCATGAAAATATAGGAGTTTTTTAGTTGATAAAAAAACAAATACAAAGTCTTCGGTGGAAACCAAAAACCAAAGTCAAACATACTATCTCCAATACTTAATATAAGACCTAATTGACTAATTTGAAGAGATTAAGGAGATTGATTTAGTTAGTTATTTGTAACAAATATGTGTTGTGTTTTCTAATTATGTGTATTAGTTAAAGTTACTCCTCCGGTCCTTAATATAAGACACAATTGTTGAATTAGTTTTAATTCTAAATATAAGATAGTTTTGATTCTAAATATAAGAATCATTTCTTATATTTATCAATTTTCTCTAAATTACCCCTATGGATATTCCCTCAACTATAATCAAGTAAAAGAGGGAGATAGGTATTAAGAAAGATGATTATAGTGTTTTAGGAAAAGTGTGTCACATTTCTTATAATTAACTAACTTACTTAACTTTCTTAATCTAATCAAATTAGTTAAATGGGTCTTATATTAAGAACCGAAGGAGTACTATTTAATAAAACTTTTAATATGTGTAACTACTATAAGGACTATTTTAAAAAAATAGATAAATATAAAAGATAAAGTGAATTGAAGTATTATATTTAGAATTAAATTAAAAATCAAATTAAAAATCAAACTAACTCTTATATTAAAGGCCGAAGGTAGTAGCTTGTTTCAAGAGGGAGGAAAAAAACAAACCGTAGTGCAGAAATCATAAAACGCTTACAACAAATGATAAAAAGTTCTTATAATTTACTCACATTTTCAATAAAAGGAAATTTATTTATACAATATGCTTATGTTGCCAAAAAAATTTAGCCAAAAAACCAGTTGCAAAGAAAATAAGGGAAAGAAAGGGGCTTAGTGGATTAAGCTTGATATGAATGATTTTTCAAATCTGCACGATGAGATTGCTGCTGATATTATTCATTGGATTAATTTATATAACACTTATGAAAATCAATCAAGATCAGTCTTCATTAAAAATCCAAAATTTCATTCTTGGGATGTTTGCTTCAGATTTGTCCTTAGAGTTCATAATGTTGTTCTCTACTATAAAAGGGATTTTGTTTATATTGATGTACTTGGGATCAATTTTCAATTGGCTTTTTAATTTAATTTAAGGTGTTCTCAACCTCTTTTCCATCAAGAAAGAAGAAAAGGACTTGGTGGTTATTTTCCAATATACTAAACAGTCAGGTCCAACCTACCTGTACCTATATGACAAAACAAAGCCTAAAATCCCCAAAAAAGTGCTCACATTTTCTCTGCTTTTCAAATTTTCATACGTTGTTTTTGTTTTTTAATCTTACTTTCCTTAACCGCAGTGATTCTAATTTTAACCAAAGCCCCACTTTTTCTCTCTTCATTTTTAGCATTTCCTCCGTTTGTCAATGCTGCTTGACTCAACCATATGTGAAAGTGATATATAATAATTAATAACGAATTAATTAACAAGAGAAGAGATAAACATCAATAATGACTGCCTAAGTATCATAATCTTAAATTATGCACGATAATTACAATGGCCACTTCCCTATGGGGGATCCTGCAACTTTGTTCCGATTTTCAATTTTCATGCTATTCTAACTGCAATTTGAAATCACAGTGACTTTAAGCTAATCCTAAGCTCAAAATCCAAAAACCATAAGAAATTTTAAATGGGGATGGAGAAAAATCCAAGCTTTCCATTATTCCTTTTTTTTTTTTTGGCCCTAATTATTGATCTTCTCTTTAAACTCAAATTTCTACATATCTATCCACATCTTTGAAACACGAGAGCAGGAGGAGAAAAAGAAAATGACAAAAAGAAAACTTCTGGTTCACTTGATCCGAGGGAGATTTTTTTAGAATTTGATACAGACAAATCTATCTGATCTGGCCTTTCTTCCAAAAATTCCAATAGGAGTCAAAATGAAAGATGAAGAAACAAAACAGATATCTTAGACTAAAGCTAGCTGCAGAAGAAAACTTCATCTTCCTCCTCTGTGGATCTCTGTCAACGTCTTCCTTATAGATACTGTTTTCCTTCATTAAAATGTGTCCCAAAAACATCCCATTTTCCCTATCCCAATCTTCATTTTTTTTCCTGGGATAGACATGACACAAACAATCTACGAGATGTTGTACTATGAGACATGACACCTATTACAGCAGGGAAAAAACATGCAGTATTCTAGTACAATTCGAAATGTCATCGAGCTTCATGGTTTGTTTCCTCTGTTTTCTGATATTTCGAAGACAAAAAACATGAAGAGTCATTTGTGTCAGGACTTACGAAGACAAAAAGGATCCCAAAAAGTGACTCGATGAAATTCATCTGATAGAGAGATTTTTTTTTTCCGTAAAAAAATGATATTTTGATGAAGAAGATACGAAAACCAGGGGAATCACGAAGAAGAAGAAGCAGAGAGCTGTGCCATTTCATGGAAGAAATAAACTAGAATTTCACCATCTGGTTTTGTACCTACAAGTCAGAAACCTCGCGAATTATTCTGTAAATGAGCAACAAAATCATCATAGCTTCACGGAGGAGACTCCGACTCGGAGACTCGGGGTGATGTCACCGGAAACAGAGGCAGAAGCCGGGGCTCGGAGTCCCTGGGAGTGTTCAAGGGCGAGGGGTGCAAATAAAACCCTTTCTCCGCGATCGCCCTCTCCTCCTCCCCTGACGACGACAGCGAGTTCGTCGTCGTCATCGTCAGGAGAGGCGACGACGACGACTTCTCAAAGGGGTCGGTCCTGTCGTCGTCGTTCAACGGCGTCACGGGACTGAGAGAGAGCGAAGGGAAATCAAGCAAACTGGGCGACAGAATCTCCGGCTTGCGAGGTGAAAGCCCAGAATTGGGAGGGAAATTGGTGGTGAAGGTGTTGATCATGAGACTGTTCTTAAGGTTGTTCCTCCTCTCGTAGAGCTTGAAACCCTGTTTCTTGGGCGGCGTCTTCACCGGCGGGATAGTGAAGCTCTTGGAAGAAGGAGGAGGCGGAGGAGGAGGAAGGGAATCGGAAAGTGGGGGTTTAGGGGAATCGGGGGAGCCGGTGAGCATTTGAACGACGTGCTTAAAGGAGGAAGTGTCAGCCTGGACGAAAGTGGTGGGGTAAGGGTGGGAATCAGATCTGGGGATGTTTCTGGAGGTGAGAGGTGGAGAGGTGGGAGAGAGAAGCGGAGAAGGATTCTGTGGGTCATGAGGTTTAGGGCTGATTTCCATTGATGGAAACCTAAACACAGAGAGAGAGAGAGAGAGAGAGAGAGAGAGAGTTGCAGAGAGGAAAAAGGTGGAGTTCGGAGAAGAGATATGGAAAGTGGCAGAGCAAAGAGTGAAAGAGAAGGCTTGAGCGGAAACAAGAGAGTGTAGTGAAGAAGGAAGGAAGGAGCCAAGGAGGGAGGGTTGCTTATTGGCCCCTATTTTGTTTCCTACTGCCTTTCTCTTTCTTTATACTCTTCTCTTCCCCACATTTCTTTTTTATTTTTTTACATTTGTGTTTTTTCGTTTTTGGATTAACCGTGGTTATATGCTATTCTGGTGGCATTTATAATTTTACATCACACTTCTAAATTCTAGTATTTCATTAAAATTATGAAAATTTTAATATTTGATCCATATGATAGAGGTTTATTAGACTTTAATAATGAGGAGTAATTTTGCAATGACCTGATGATTTTTTTAATATAAAATTAAGAATGTCTATTAATTTTAACTGTTTTTATCGATTTGTTTGGTTCAATTGAGAAATTTAGAATTATAAATAATATGTTGGGATTAATTATAAGAACACACAATATGCGGAACAATTTAACAATTAAACTATTAACGACTGATATAGGTTGACCAAGTCAACAACTTTGTTAGGAATGTATTTTTTTGGCTTATCATTTAATTTATTTAAAGTTTCCTATATTATGTCTTGCTAACTTTTTTCAATCGGGGGCGTTTGGTGTGTGTTGCTGTATGGACTTCTCTTTTCAGCCATATTATAATTTGGCTGCTTTGTCATTATGATTCTTTTAATAAAAATATTAAAAAATTAAATGAGAAAATTACACATATGTCATAAGTAAGGAAGTTAAATACAACTAGATCTCCTTGATCACAAGTCAAATTTTTATATTTATAAACCCTTAGGCTATTAATATTAAATAAGATTTTAAAAATGATTCATATTTAGTTTTTTTTATTTAAAATGTTTATGTAATTTTTTTAAAAATCAAGAGGGCATGAGGTAGGTTTGACTTGAGTACTTTGGTTGATGAGATTGGAGACGGCACATTCTCACGTTAACATTCCTATACTTGGTAAATCTATTTCTTTGTTTGTGCACTTTTCTCTAGGGAGCGTGTCGTCCACGCATCAATTATATGACGACCCAACTCTCCCTCCAGATTACCCAGACGGGCAGGTTTCACAAAATGACAAACCCACTCCTTCAAAGAAAAGGACGCGGCTTCTCTCCTTTTCCCTTACCATCCGCTGCTGCCGTCCGCTACCCTCAAAGCCGCGGCGTTTTGAGTGAAAAACGACAGAGTGAGTGCTTTTCTATTTAAAAAAAAAAAAAATTCAGTACTCTAAAATATATTTTTAGTATTATTAAGTATCCTAAATAAATTCTCAATACCCTTACCGTTCTAAAATATTTTTCTAATAGTACTTAATATCTAACTCAGTATCCTAAAATATTTTTTAATAGATCCAGTATCCCAAATTTTTTTTAGTAATACCCATCATGTCAAAGTATTTCTCTAATAACACTCAATATCATAAATTAATTTTTAATATATCCAACACCCAAAAATATTTTTAAATAACATTTAGTATCTTGAAGTAATTTGTCATATAATATCTTATGGTCACTAAAATTTAGCACAAGCTACTTGGTGCTACTAAAAAAATATCCCAGCATATTGGATGTGCATAGGTGTTATTGAAAAAAAATATTTTAGCCTTCTAAGTGGACCAAAAATTATTTTACAATACTAAGTGCTGTTAAGAAATATCTTAGAATGCTGGGTGTTAAATATTAGGTGCTACTAAAAAATTATTACCTTCGATTCTTAATATAAGACCCTGTTTGACTTTTATTTTGGTTCTAAATATAAGACCCCAATCTACTGTATTTCTCATATTTATTCAATTTTTTCCAAGATAGTCCTTCTAATAATTATAGTTTTAATCAATATACTTGATTAGTAAGGATATTTTAGGAAAGACAACACCTATTTAGGACAAATAACTAACCCAACTTACTTCTTTAATCTCCTCAAATTAGTCAATTGGCTCTTATAATTAGGACTGGAGGTAGTATTTTACCTTGTTGAGTGTATTAACAATTAATTTAGGATAGGAAATGACACTGAAAAAAATATTTTAAGCTATTAGATTTTTTTTTAAAATTAAAAAAAAGCCTTCACCCTCCCTTGCTTTCACTCAAAACGGCGCAGTATCAAAGGTAAAGGAGGGCAGCGGATGGTAAGAGAAAGGGAGAGAAGCTGCGTCGGAAAGGGAAAGAAAGGAAAAGGGGAAACCGGGAAAACGCCACCCAAGAGTTTGATAACTAAATTATACAGTTTCAAAAAAAATTAAAATTAATTAAAAATAATAAATATGTAAGAAATAACTTTTTTTCAAACATAATCTTATTTGTAAGGGGCAAATAAGAGAGAAAATATAAAAAAAATGTAGCATAGCAACTTGTCAACTTTTTAATTAATGTAATATGTAAAATTAATTAGGGGCAAAAATGATAAATACGCGTTAGATGTTCAAACAACTATAAGTGAGCTCTTATAAAAAAGACCAAGGCAATTTGAAATTTCAGACTCTTATAAAAAGGACTGATGGAGTAAATTTTAATTATATTTTGTTATTCATTTTTTTGAGTTTTTTTCATCCTTTCTATTTTGTTATTCCTTTTTATTTTTAAAAAATGCTCAGAAAAATTATGAACTAGCCCAAATTGTGCTAATTTAATTAATTAAGATAAATTTGGTCCTGAAAACAATCGAGGAAATGAATTTGAGAATGATATAATTTACAACTGGATCATTTGAATTTGAGAATTATACTTCAAAGAAAATGAATTATATTGAATTCTTTTTATATTTCACCCACTTTTCCTTAGTTTTATTATATTATTATTTTTACCTAATTAAATATAAAAGCTGAGTATTTTAGATCAAAGAAAAACAAGCAAGATCTTCTAACTTGTTACTCAGTAAGAACACATACACATGATATCAATAGGTTAATGTGTGCGCGCGCACAATTCACATTATTCATATAATTAATACAACTCATGCTTTAATTTTTCAAACATATATGAATATAAGAAGCAGGTCTAATAAATATTTCTCGAACGAACGAAAAATCAGTTTTACTAAATTATCAACAGCACACGTATTTTTATAACCGGAAATATTTTTAATATTTTTCCTCCATAGTATAATGACTAATTGTTCCTGGAGCTCGGAGTGCAAAATGGCAAACCTATGCCACTTTTTTTTGGAAAAAAAATATAGTGAATAAAAAGAAAGCACTCTTAACTCCACACATTAGCACTAATTGATATGTGTTTCATTAATTAAATCAAAAGGATAATCATAATTAATCAATTAATTTGTGTCTCATAATAGTGCAAATGAATCAGTCCGTTCCAAAAGACGAGAGTGCAGAAAATCATGCGCTTATCGGATTCAAAGTTGCATTCTCATTTTATATAGATGCAATTTCGTCTTCACTGTCCATTTGTCTAAGTATGACTTAGCTTTCACATTTCCTTCACAAACTTTTTAATAATATTTCAAAAAGTAATAAAGAAAAGGGAATCCATTTCAAAAAATATATTATCTTTCGGCAATTTTATATGTTAATAAAAAAAGTTATCCAAATGTAGTCGGAGCAAAAACTCTGGTGAACTGAGTGGGCAACAAAAAAAAAAGTTATCCATTGTATATAATTCAGTTTCATGTACATTTAGAGCTCCTCCGATGTTTGATGTAACACCTAATAATATATTAAAAATATTAGTTAAATTAATTAATATAATATGTTTTTTCATAAAACATTTTAAGCTAAGCATCTTTCTTAATTTTCTTCCTCTTTCTCCTACTTGATTATTGTTACGAAAATATTAATAAGGTTAATTTAAAAAAAATGATAAACATATAAAATAAGTCTTATATATAGAACTAACATCATCTCCTTAATTAGGTCCTACATTAAGGACCAAAGGAGTACTTTGTTCGTTATGCAATGTTCTTAATTTTATCATTTATTTTCATTTCTTTATTATAAAATATGCATTTTCTAATAAGGAGAATCATTTCTTTATATAATATTAGAGATTAATTAGTAGGAGAATAAAGGCAGCATGCATTATACACAACTTTAACAATGAAGTGATTAATTAATACCGCTTACAACAGGAATAGTATGACTTTTATATTTTATAAATAAATTGAGATTACCAAAAATATTTAAAAATTCAAAGTTTTTTCTGGGGTGAAAAGATCACCATAGTGTTATAACTAGCTAGATTCGAGAGTGAAGTGGTGAAAAGAACAATAAATATTATTGAGGAGTCACTAAGTTAACAATGTCCAATCATGAATTATAAACTAAAATAACTTGAACTAATGACGAGGAGTCCCACCGATCCACAAGTCGTCGCCCGTATATGCGGTCTCTAGTTACACGTTCCATGTAAAGCCAATGGCATCCATTCAAACCCTAAAACTATGGTTACTTGGAAATTATCAGTGTATAGAGAGAGGAATACGGGAGAGAGTATGTCGGGGCCGTGTAGTCCAATAACACCAAACGCCCCTCTTAAATCTTTCTCAATAACATAAGATTGTGAGTTCAAAGTCTCTACAGATAATAAAAGCATGAGTTATGATCAAAGAATAACAACGTGCAAATTTATCGGGACATATGTAAACAATCATGAGTTTTGTTTTCCTTTTTGGATGAAGGAGGATTATCAAGAGTGGGAAACTAGAGAGAGAGAAAGAGAGAGAGAGATGCAATATTGAGTCCAACGATGGAGTGGGAAATGAGTAGGTTTTGAAGATTATTTGAGAAGCCGATGGGTGATACTAATATATTTTTCCGGTCTTTAATATCAGACCTAATTATTAATTTAATTTTGATCTTAATATAAAACCTATTTCTCATATTTACTAATTTTTCTAAATTACCCCTATAGATACTCCATCAACTATAATTAAGTAGGTGAGGGAGGGAGGATATTGAGTCCAACGATGGAGTGGGAAATGAGTAGGTTTTGAAGATTAGTTGAGGAGCGCATGGATGATATTAATATACTCCTCCGGTCCTTAATATAGGACCCAATTGTTGAGTTGGGTTTGGTTCTAAATATAAGACCCATTTCTC